ACTGTTTTTATATAAAGTTGTAGGAGTATTATTAACCCTGTTTTTATGTAAAGTTGTAGGAATATTATTAACACTGTTCTTATGTAAAGTTGTAGGAGTGTTATTGACACTGTTCTTATGTAAAGTTGTAGGAGTATTATTAACACTGTTCTTATGTAAAGTTGTAGGAGTAATATTAACACTGTTTTTATGAAAGTTGTAGGAGTATTATTAACACTGTTTTTATGAAAGTTGTAGGAGTATTATTAACACTGTTTTTATGAAAAGTTGTAGGAGTATTATTAACACTGTTCTTATGTAAAGTTGTAGGAGTATTATTAACATTGTTCTCAGACAGAATTACAGGAGTAATATCAATATTGTTCTTAGACAGAATTACAGGAGTATTATTAACATTGTTCTTAGACAGAGTTGTAGGATGACTAGCTGCCTTCCCTCTAGTCTTTCACTGCTAAATTAGGGACGGCTAGCGCAGATAGCCCTCGTGTAGCTTTGCGCGAAATTCAAAACAATAAATCAATCAACCATAAACTATCAAAGTACGATCTTTACCCCAAAACTGGTACCTACAACGGCACAATGTTACATTTTATTATGTGATGGTTGAGAATTAACATCTGCAATAAAACATTTGTGATAAAAGTTTGAGTTCGTTGTAGGTCGCCGGAAAGGTAAGATATGCAGCTACCCAGGGCCCCCTCGTTGTAACTTGTAAGAGACCTGTACAAATATTTGTATGGGTATATACCATCTAGTTCTATTGCACAGTTTCAGTCACGTTTCTTATATTGCCGAATATTCCCTGCGTGCGTGTGTGTGTGTGTGTGTGGGGGGTCCCCTCGATGTCTAAAGGCTGACAATGGGGTCCCTTGACTATCGGGTGGTTAATAATAATTGAATTTGCTCAAGCTGACTTACAGACTGTTTTAGAACTACAACCTGTATACACGTGTTGACCTAGATGTCAGTGATTTCTGCACGTCATACCCTGGTATTTCCTTGCAGGTCTACGTGTTTGACTATCATGTTTTGCACACACAAATACAAGTACGTGCAACGAAACTCAAATTACAGCTGTATAGAATAGCAACTTTTTAAAAAACCAAGTCCCAGTTTGTCGACTTTCAATATTAAACATTCAGTATTAGGATCCCAAATTATCTTAATTACCTCGTATGTCAGAGAAACAACGGGATTTAGTGATAGTATACAAACATCTGTATCAGGCTGGTCCAATCTTTTACCTAGGGAGGGCCGCATTGTAGAGAATGGAAACATAATTGATTACATTAGTATGTTTCTTTCAGAACTTTCGAGAAAAACTACACAAACTGATAGAGTAGAGAGTTAACAGCACGCACACCGCCTGTTCTTGGTCTACTTTTGTCTGATCGAATAGTGCATGGGATATGACTGCCACTGTTATAACGCACCCAAGTCCCCCAAGGGCAAAGCGGGTTTCTCGTTTTTGGAAACGAGTCGCGAATCACGAATTCCCGGATTTACATACTAGACACGCTAAATATTTGGCCACGCTCGATTTATTTATTACCCAAATGAATTACTGGAAAGGAACCTTCCTACTAAAAATCTATTTGTAAGTAACTTTTTTAAATCTGTAGACGTATACTGAGTGCACATGCGCCAGTTGAACGTTGCTGATTCAGTTAGCACTTCATGTTGAAGTTTATTACAGTTTACGTTTGTTTATCGTGGTTTAATCAAACTGACGCGTTTTAAGAACATTCCTAATGAGATTTCAGCCGAGTACTTTCGCAATGTTATAACTGGTCAGTTACAAATATTTTTATGGTATAGCTAAGCAGCTTTTCACGTTATTTTATGTCAGTAGCTGGACAGTTTCATGTGTTTTTATGTTGTAGTTGAGCAGTTTCACGTGTTTCAATGTTACAGCTATGTAGTTTTACATGTTTATATGTTACAACGGAGCAGATTTACATGTTGTTATGTTACAGATACCCACAGCTTCACGAGTCTTTAATGTTTTAGCTGGACAGTTCCACATGTTTTGATGTTATAGCTGAGCAGTTTTTCACGCGTTTTTATGTTATAGTTGGTCAGTCGACTAGTTGTCTTCCCTCTATTTTATCGTTGAAAACGTGGGTTAAGACAGCCGTTGTGAATCACCAGATATTCTGATGCAAACAAAGAACCTATAACATTAAAAACAGGGACACACACACACACATATATATATCCGTGTTTTTAAAACTACAAGAAATAAGAACTTAGTGTTATAACCGGAGCTTCTTCGAGTTATAAGATCCTCCGGTGGGTCAACGGTAAGTTCACTGACTTACAGCACTAAAATCCGGGTTTCGATTCCATGCGGTGGACAGAGCGCAGATAGTGCGTTGTGTAGTTTTGCGCTAAAACGACCAAATAAACAAATCAAACTATATAAAATCAGGAATCTTAGCCACTAATCGAAAAAAAACAAAAAACATGACTGACAGATTAACTATAAATTAGACGTACAAAACCCTAAAGGAAGATATCTAGCCCTCACCCCCAGTGGCACAGCGGTATGTCTGCGGACTTACAACGCTAGAATCCGGGTTTCGATACCCGTGATGGGCAGAGCACAGATAGCCCATGGTGTAGCTTTGTGTTTAAACTACAAAGAAAGCAAAACCCCAAAGGAAGAGATCTAGCCATCACCCCCAGTGGCACAGCGGTATGTCTGCGGACTTACAACGTTAGAATCCGGGTTTCGATACCCGTGATGGGCAGAGCACAGATAGCCCATGGTGTAGCTTTGTGTTTAAACTACAAACAAAAGAAAACCCAAAAGGAAGAGATCTAATTCTTATTAAATGATCTCCAAAAATAATTCAGTTCTGAGCATAATATGTTGCTGTGCTTATCTTCTACTGGATCTGGAACATCGTTCTGAGCATAATATGTTGCTGTGCTTATCTTCTACTGGATCTGGAACATCGTTCTGAGCATAATATGTTGCTGTGCTTATCTTCTACTGGATCTGGAACATCTTTTGGATTTTTTTTTTAAACCTAAAGGCGGAAACACTATAAATTTAATTAATTTTGAGGTTGCCTCAGTTGAATTGCGAATTGAATTTGCATGATGGGGTCATGCGGTCTCAACCCAAACAGTAGTTTCAATGACATTTTAATTATTATCTTCCAAAGCTCAAATTCTCTCCCACCCGTCAATAGCGATTCGGAACCTTTCATTCTAAAAAATACGCGGTGAGGTGTTTGGAAGAAGAAAAAATAACATATTTAAGAGGTAGTTAACTATTGTTTTGGCATTCATGTGTTCTATGAATGTGAATAGGGTAAAACTTTATGCCAATAACACACCCAAAATAACAACCTAATAACGGTATTGTACCTAATATATAAGTTAGGTTAGTATGTTCATAGATGTTTTTTAGCCACGTATATTGTTCGTTTGTAATTAAGCACAAAGCTACACAATGGGCTATCTGTGCTCTGCCCACCACGGGTATCGAAACCCGGTTTGTAGCTTTGTAACTCCGCAGACATGCCGCTGTGCCACTGAAGGGGGGGGGGGCAACCACGTATATTACGAAAACATATTTTACACAGGATAGTAACGTATGCTCTTTACCACAGCGTCGAAAATCAGTTAAACATTCTGTACATTTATATTTAATGAGTTGTTATTGAGAGAACACTCACCATTATAGTAAATCAGTTTTCACTTACCGAGTACGAAGAGTACAAAAGCCGGCGCCCACAGAAAACATCCTCCGTACAGATGGCTCTCAGGTCGTGAGCACGGACACTGAAAGGCCACTTTCTTAAATATTTCTTCACTGCTCAAAGTTACCACAATTACGACACCGTTAATGCAGGACGACTGATGATTTTGAACTGCTGAGCCTAACTTTTTAAAGGCAGCTGAAGAAACGCCCGGCATGGTTACTACGTTAACGTCTGCTTAATAAGTCCAAAGCGTTGCAATCGTAAGGGAAACAAACAGATGAAAGTGCTGTTAAAACTATTACAAAAGAAAAACCCGTGGAAACAGGTATCTGAATGACTATTTTGTATGCAGGCACACAGTCGAACTGACACTCGTTTAACTTTAAGAGACCGATAGTTATTTAAACATACACTATTAACAGCAGATGTATGAGCAGGTGAATAAAGTGTAAACAACAACTTCTAGGCTAAGCTGATCATGTATGGAGTTGTCTTCACCAATTGGGCGCTTATACGCGGAAACTAAGTTGAAAACAAAACCGGAATAGCAAGTTCCCGGAAATATCCTTTCACCACACCAATGGCCCAATACTTGGTAGTTAATATAGAGCTGATAGACACTAGGGGGCACGTTTTTTCCCTACAGATTCCTAAAACCACGAGGTTCCGTGAAAGACTAACAAACTTATTGTTACGTATTACTAATGAAGCGTGTTCTTCTCTCTCTCTCTCTCTCTTTGACATTTTCGCACAAAACTACACAAAGGGCTTGAGAGAAACCAGCTAGCCAAATAAACCCATCGCCACTTGGGCTACTCTCATAAATAGAATAATGAGATTTGACTATTACCTTTATAGCGAACCTACGACCCCAAAGTGGGGCTAAGCAAGTTCGTTGACCTGGTAACTTACTTGATAGACAGACAACGGAATAGAGTCTTGAATTCGATAGTAGGAGAAGTTTGAATCATTTATTAACGATATTGTGACGTACGTTATTTGTTCAAAAAGAACAAATAGTCAGCGTTTAGATTCAGTTACGTCATACGCATGCGCATTGCGCTTAAAGGACTGGGATTTGCCGATACACTCGCTACGATTATTATTTTTTTTATTACAATTTCATCTGTCCCACTAATTTTATGCCCATATTTTTGTTACGCTATATTTCCATTTTTTGTATTTGTTTTTTAACCAATTCATTTTATGCCCACATTCTTGTTACGGTACACATTCAACCTGTACCAACCCCGTAATAACAAGAATTATAAAAATGTTCGCATGTCCGACAAATAAAAGCTGAGTATATTTATCCTTCCATGCACGTGTTTCTGCAAAATAATCCGGTCACTTTGTTACGCAGTTCCTTTTCGTTGCAATACGAGATATTTTTAACTTACATCAACCAAAATAACAAAAAATAAACGAGGATGTAATTGGTTAATAATACAAAGTATTCTGAGGAAGTGGTGATTCAGTTTTGCTCTATTATGTAAAATATTAATAAACAAAAGCAGGGCAACTGAGTGTGTGTGTCAATTTTTTGTATGTACATGTATAGTGTTTATAGCGCAAATCCGTTTTGGGGAATTCTTTCAAATGTGACTGGTGCGTTTACGATTTAGAAAAAGAATGTCTTATAATCTGTACTGGAAGAGTTGCTACTTAGACCAGAAATATCTGTAAAGTTGCACCAGGTGCTGTCTATGCCGTGCTTACCACAAGGATTGTAACCTAACTTTATTAGTGTTATAATCTCTCAAGCTGTGAGCCCAGAAATATTGCGTCTGCCAGTTTCATAATATTACAAGAAAACAAGTTATTTTGGTGGATAAATAAACTTATTTTGATTATTTAATTTTAATAATAATTCATTATTCATAAATAGTACACCAGTACACATTAAATCTGACATAACACTTAATTTTCAGGAATTTCACCTAATCACAAGCCTTAGGAAGACAGGGAGTGTCTCAGAGACTAATGTGCCTGACTATAGATCCAAGCCGAATTTTTTAACTTTGGGGGCTTTATAAATGAGACTGTCAGTCCTGTTATTCGGTTAAGAGTAGAAGCTGCTGAGTGACTATCCTCCCTCTGGACAGCAGTTCTAAATTTGAACCTTTGGGTTTTTTGACCTGGTCATTAAGGCTGTGTGTCGGATAAGGAGTTATTCAGGTTGCAATATTCCGTTCCCACAGATATCCAGAGACACTGAATTAGGCGACTTGATAGGTATATATGTCTTTGTATCGAATAGCACGAATACCCGTTACAGTTTCCTTCTGCCTTGGGTATGCAACAGTGGAATGGGAGATATGATTGAAAGCCTTATCTAAGTGGAGACATACCTTGTTGGCCTCGCTTCCGTACAAAGATGGTATGGTACAGAAGGCCCAGAATATCAGTTTGATAGTAACAGATTAATCTTGGTCTCTTCTGATCCATAGCTTGTCTGTGGCGCAATATCCCGCGATGCGAATCGTTTTAAACAAGTTTTACAACGTGCTTGTGTACCACTTTTGGCAATCTTTTCCACCCATTGATTAGTAAAAAAATGGCATGGTACTTCTTACAGTTATTAAGGTACACATATGTTTCTTCGAGTGGCATCGCATATTGCCATTTATCATTTATTTATACAGTTGGCTTTCCTTTCCTGGATATGTCATGAAAGCAGCTTGTCTACACGTGTCTTGTGTTGGTTCTGTAGACGGAGATTCTTCTTGATTATGTCGCCTACTGTTCCTAGAACTCGTTGGTTGGGCAGTTGGTCTTCGTCTGCTGATACCCTGTTCAGTCTCACTTGGATTTCCTTCCCGATAAAGTGTTTTGAGATTCTTTTCTTTTCAAATCCCGAGACTGTCTGGGAGGATGTTGTTTGTCGTGTGGAATCCTTGGTGAATGATTATCGTTATTGCCCTGCCAATTTCTTTTACAGGGCATATGTGATCCAAACGCATATCCTACCCCTTCTGTGGTTCCTTAATACTGTTTTTCCCTTACCTGACCACTGTGCTCGTATGGTCGAATGCCAGGTCTTCCCTTTCTTGTGGAGAAGCATGACTGAACTGGTCTCCAGGCTGTCCTTAACATTTCCATTCCACTTTCCTTAACTGTGCATGGCTTGTCTTGGACAGGACATCCCTGTTGCTCACTACTATGTTTCTTTCTGGGTATGGGCCTCAGAGAATGTGACACATCCCTCTATCTTACCACACCAATGTGTTTTGACCCCCACCAAGTGGTACTCTGAGGTTATTGAGGCATTCGCCATTGTTGGGTGCTTCTCCTTTCCTAAGTTTGTTACCAGTTTCACATTCCTTTTACTCATTGCTGGTTCCCAGTCATTCCCATAGGACTGAGCAACAATACCCAGCTCTTCCATGGGATGATATTTTGGGTCGAGTGATGATGCGCCATGTTGATCAGTATTTACAAGCTTTCAACTGGCGTGTCATCCATAACATTCTACAAGTGAGGGAACATTTGTTTCTGTTTAATATCAGTACCATTGAGTCATGTCCTATATGTCATGCATGGATAGAGTCTATCCTTCATCCTCTGGTCCTGTGTCTGGTGTTGGCATGGGTTTGGAGGTTTGTTACATGTCTCTTCCATACCCCGCTGATCTCGGCCAAGACTATCTTTTATCTTGTCCCTACTCTGGTCCCCAGTCACTTGACCTTTATGTTTCATTATGTTCTTTTGCTATTCAAACACGTTATCTGGCTCATGAGGAACCACTATATATACGAGCAGGTTCCCATGACATTCCAGAGCATATTGTACAGGGTCAAGTTCGAGCTGTTACTCCACCTTGAAGTGGATTTCCAGCTTCTGGGTACCGGATATTTTTTCCGTTGCTGGTGTCCTGATGTTTCCTCTGTTTTTACAGTCGGCAATGAGTGGGTTCATCTCCTAATTTGATTCTTTAGCAGACTGTGTCGAATATTTTGTCATGTAATTTTGACTTGAAACTAAATTGTGTATATTTATTTTGTTATCTGTAAATTCATTTTTCTTTGAGTCACGTTTCATTGTAATTTTACCAATTTTGTAAATAATTTTGTCATCTTGTACTTTGACTATATGTATTTCATTTTGTAATTTGTATCTCTTATTTTGAATCACGTTTCCCTGTACATTATTATCTGTATATTTTTCACTTTTGTATTCTTGTTTGTTGTATTGTCTTCATTTTGTGTAAATAAATCTCAAAGTTGTATCATACTTCATTGCCTAGGATCCATATGATGACCTCCCTATTAATTGCTCTGACTCTGGCACGTGGTCATCAATTGTATGCACATACAGTAACCAGGGGTGAAGTTGGAAAGTGTGGGTTCTGAAAATGTCCCCTTAACGTTGGTCCTGTGCTCCGAGGTACTTGTACCACCCAGGAGGAACCATTCAATCTTCACTGGTCTCCCATTTAATCTAGAAATAGAATTAAAATATTCATTTGAAGTCAGTAGAAGAATGTTTTGCCCATACAAAAACATTAAGATATGTTTGGTTAAAATTCATATTTTAGGAATTTTTTATCTATCAATAGATGGCGAGTCCTTCGTAAATATATATTATAAATCTATATAATCTACATGTCGCATTTGTATTTGTTTGTAGTTAAGCACAAAGCTACACAATGGACTATCTGTGCTCTGCCCACAACGGGTATCAAAAATGATGAAAAATACATTTAAGTTTTTTCATTTTCTTCCACTTATTCGTTTATCCAAAATGTAAATTAATAGACATATGAGTGTTCTTTTTGATTACAGAAACGTTGACATGAACCAGTAAAGTTCATTCGAAAATATTTAGTTAACTAGAATGGCACAGGTTATATTTGCATTCAAAGATTGAGACAGCTACTAGTGATAATCATATTATGAATTTCCTAGACTAATATTCATGCTAATTGTTTGTCATTTTTGATTTCCTTTAACACCTTCGTTATATTTATTCCTATAAATCACTGGATAATATTATTCCCTTTCTTTAGTTTCAAATGCTACTAATACAATGAAGAAATATAAGATGCAGATTTTATACTCACATTATGAAAATTCATACTGAGACCATTATTTCACAAATAAATTGCAAAAAAACTTATGTCGCAAACAAATGGTAACAGATAAACAAATGTATTTGATATTTGCAGAATTCTGGGATGGGGATCCTTTATTTTGCTGAAAATTTATATTATAAGTGATTGAGCAAGAATGTTATTTGGGCAATTTCAAGCTATATTTATTACACAATTTAAAGAAAAAATCACTCAACAGTAAAGATACATATGCCAAAACTTATGGTTTTCACAAAATAAACCCATTTGCCACATCTTAATTAGCAGAAAATAATATATTTTGTGAAGGGTCCGCCATCTATTGACCAATAAAGAAATCCTTAAAATATGAAGCTTAACCAAGCATATCTTAATGTTTATGTATGGGAAAAACATTCTACTACTGACTTCAGA